AAAGAAATAAAGAAAGAAAGAAAGAAGGAAAGAAAGAAAGAAAGAAAGAAAGAAAGAAAGAAAGAAAGAAAGAAAGATCAGTTATTACATTGAAGAATTAGTTAATTCACCATGTTTAAAAAGTTGTTTTGTGTGAATGGAAATAACCAGTTAAAACAATTGTTTCAGGATCCTATAATAACAATACAAAAGGCACAAAAGGATACCTTGCTGGCCTATCACCCTTTGTTAATAAAATAATATTAATGCATTCAAATAAGCCTAAAATATTCTATACTATATAAAAATCAAAAAACAGACCTTCAAAAATGCAGTTACAAAACCATAAGTTTATGTCATTAGAAAGTATCAAGTTACTCACTCTCTGGCACTGAGAAACAAGAACAAGTCTACAATGCAGAAGAGAGCCGCAAAAGTTCTATGGTTGACAAGCCAAAAAGTGTCCTGACCAGAACAACTACATCTGTAACCAAATCGTTTATATATATATTTTATCCCCACACCCAGTAGGGCAAACAATGAAATAGGATCCTATCCTGGTTTACACATTTCTGATAGTGTCTCTACAAGCACAATCATAAAGATTTGTAGTATATGCAATGTTCATTTCTGACAGCACAATCAGTAGCTATAACACTACAGATCAGAAACAAATGCAACAGCTGTTACAGTATATCCATACTTTGTTCCAGGCCAGGCCATAGTCTCATCCCAAAATGGTGAGATAAGCTGTTCCTAGTGTGCTCAGACTATGAGCTGCCAGTGTTATGGTCCAATTCAGTTTAGAATTCAACATGTACTTTCATTCTAAAATATTCATATTACTCCAGATGGATCCATGAAGAAAGTGTTGTTTCTATTATATGCACGCTAAATTACATCCTAGTGAGAATAAGGTGCTTGGTGGAAATATGACATCCCACAGCACGTCTGACCGGCTCTGAAGAAACGTAAGTGGTTTTTCTAAATGCATACTCAAAATCACAGATCAGCATCTTTGCAGATCAGCAACCCTCTCATGTTGCAACCAGGGTGGCAAATTAGTGATGCAAATGCGCATTCTGACAATATGCAGCTCAACACTGAAAAGGGATACAGTACTTACTCCAGAATGGTGGAACAAGGCGATTCGCTCCCTCCCACTTGGATCATGAGCCGTCACTAACTTTGATCCACCTTTCAATGCAAGGCTCTCAGTGGAATTCTGTATTAGCTATACTGCAGGAGTGCCTGGTCCCTCATTACAATAGTCATTACTTGCACTAGGCAAGGATGGGATCTCTCAAGCATGGACTGTAACTTCACCATGTAGTCTTCATTTCCAAGTGAAACAACCTCAGTTTTAAGGCAGCAGTTACATTCTGCCTAAGCTACTTGACCATGCTAAGCGGTCAGAAAGAAGGTGCTCTCCTTTCAAGAGAGCACCAACGGGCCAAATCACCCGAGAGGGAGGACACCTCACCAGTCTTGAGGAAAGTTTTGGAATTGGGCTGACTGAACTTCGGCTCCCCCAGAGCGGCACCACTCCGCTCTCTTAACCACAACATCCCACCCACCATTACTTTCCCCTCTACAGCCACCTTCCATCTTTTGTCTTCCCCCGCTAATGTTAGGAACTTCCCTCCTCAGACTCGAGTGAGCGCAACGTCGGGCTCTGGACAAATGCTCTGAAGCCTTTCCTCATTCAGACACCTTCCCCCCCTCCAAAAAAAAAAAAAGAGCGGCCAAAACTTTCCTTGGACTTTTCTGCCCCCGCCTTCTACGTTCCTGAACCGCGCGCTCCGCGGGGAAAAGGAGCGCGGAATGGCGGCTGTTAAACGGCTCGCTGCTTTGCCTGCGTCTGGGGCCCAGCCCTGCGCCCCACCCAGCTCAACAGGTAAAAGAGGGAAACAGACGGAGAGGCGACCCCCTCCCCCGTCGCCCCTTCCCCAAAGTTACTGAGGGGGTCCGACGGCCGCTCTCACCTTTCCGCCATGTCTCCGCTCGGGCCGCGCCGCCCGGACTTCCCTCGCGGTGCCCCTCAAGCTGAGCGAGGGCTGGAGCAGCTCCTGAGCTAGACAGGATCAGGATGTGAAACCTGATCCCGTCTGCCGTTGCTGCCCCTCCCGGCTTCGTACAGAGTAAGCCGGGCGGGACCCCGCTATCCAATCCCTCTGGCGGGGAAGGCCAGCTCGGGCCTGCCTGTAAAATCAGAAAAGAAGGGGGACGCGGATTTGTTGTTGCTGCTGCTGCTGCTTGTGGTGGTGCTTTCCCGAGCTGCTGTCCCATTCATAGCCTGGCCACGGGAGAGAATCCTTCCCCTTAATTCCTTGTCTGTAAAAGATTATACTTTTCAGCACTGCAGTCGTCAGTTGCCCAATGAAGCAGAACAGATATCCCCTTAAATTATTTTCACCATTTTCCTGAGAACAGCAGAGTAATAAAAGCATCTGATGATTTTTGCTCTTTCAGGTCATATTTATTTGTGGGTGTAGATTTAGAATTATAATCCATGTTGGTGACTGCAGAGAAGAGGAAGTGATAATTAAATCATCTCTATGAGCACACCATTTTCAATTCAATTATTTATTTATTTGTTTGTCTGTTTATTTATTTATTTAATTTATATGCTGCCCACTCTACCCAAGTCTCTGGGCGGCTTACAATTAAAATTCAATTAAAATACAATAAAATATAAAATGATTAAAATACAATTAAAATTACTGTACTACTGAATAAGTACCATAGTTCTGCTATCACCAATAGGTATATGAAATGATGAGCAGTCCTTGGAAAACACTGAAGGGGAAAATCCACCTTCTTGTACTACTTTCACGTTTTGGATTTATGCTCCATGTCATCCCTTTCAAACCATTTTGTTTTGTTTGTGTTATAAAGCTGGGAAGGAGAGAATTCCAGTGCTGCAAACATAAAGAGATGTGTTATATTTTTTAAATATAAATGTTGTAGTTACACTACAAATACATTGCATTCATCTTCAGTTCAGTTAGTTTGTATTTTAAGGTTTGTATTTGTATGTGTGCATTATATGCCATCAAGACAATTCTGCTTTATGACTTCTGACAACCCTAGTAGTCATAAGGAGCGATTTAGCTGGCTGGGAGTTCGATTCCTCACTATCCCTTCTGTGAGTACAGCCAATCAGTATGGCCTTAGGCATGCTGCACAGTCCCAGGGCGCCCCCAGAAGAAAGGAATGGTAAACTACTTCTATGTATTATTTAATTTATGTTAGCCTCCTTTTTTCTTTCTAAAGCAACATGTTATGTCATGGAAGTAATATATGAAGTTAAGAGTTCATGTAAAAATTCATGCTTCATAAGATGCATCAATTAGGACATTTCATATAGAGTTTTCTGGTGATTCTGATAACAAATAAATAACTGTTTTCCTTATTCTGGTAATTACATGCCAAAGGACTAATATGAGGATATAAAACTTCCAAAGTATTTATTCATTGCTCAGTTATGTTTAAGCAGAACATTGCACAGATACAGGATTATCTTGTTACCATAGCAATACTGTAATGATGGCTGCTGAATGGCAAGCAAGTATGGTTACAACATTAGAGTATGACTGCTGAAGTAAGAAATTACAGTAACAGTATTTCAGATGGATGATGGGACATCTAACAACCCTAGTTGTAACTTTGTTTTGCTGCAATTAAATACTTTATACAGTATCTGTATTACTAATAGACATACCTTACTACTGTGTGAAAGCCCCAAAGGGAGCTGCATTGAGACTCACTAATTCAGAAGAGATTAAGCCACAGTAATCCAGGCCACTAATGAAGCATAAATGGCCTTGAACAAATCAATCAGCAGCCAAGTGTGCCAATTACTATGGCCTTATTTCAAACATAATGCAATTGCAGCCCCCTGGTGGCAATTCATCCCAAGTAAAATAGGAAATGTTACCAAGTCTCCCCTAGCATTTTTAAAAGTGTCAGTAGACTTTAATCTACTCCAATAGATTCTGCCTGAAAAACAGAGATATATGTTCCCTTAGGTTAGCTTTTATAAAAGAACAGCCAAGAGTCCTGGGATTCCTTTCACAGACTACAACCCACTCCATCACATTTATATGAGATGAGGCACACACACACATACATTGACAAGCTGGGCTCCAGAACTTTTAATTGCGTCTTTAGGAAGACTTAGATTATGTTAGGAACAGAAGGCTACAAATTATATTGTATTTTTATAACACAATTTATAACATCTCAATTCTAGCATAAAATGCTAGAATGGACTACAACGCATTGACTCCTGAAAGTATTCAAAGCTTGTACAGTTAAATGAGAACAATTATCAGTTACAGTTCCTACTTTTCACCTCCCCAAAGTAGATCACTCCTACACAGCATGGTGAGCAAAGTACAGTATAGTCCTCAGATATGGATGAACTACAAATCTCATAATTGCCTATGCTGAATGATGGGAATTGTACAACATCTTCTAAAGGATGACAGCTTGTCTATCATTTTAGAGGTACAGTCTTTGAAATTATATTTAACTTTTCCATTTTTCAAAAGTAATTGAACTATTTACTCTGTGGTTACTTATTTTAAAAATCTGAATGCTACAAATGGCTAATCCTTGGTCTGACAGGTTTGAACAAGACCATACTATAATTCATAGCACTTTCATAAAAACAGGCCACATTGAGTTCTAACTAACCAAACTAAGCCTAACACATTACTCTTACAGCCTAGCTCTCTTCCTCACAGATGCTTATTTACAAAATAGAACCTCTCTAGCTAAGCACCAGACAGAGCTCACTTATTACATCCTGCCCGTGAGGAGACATCAGGGAATCTAGTAACTACAGGGCCATTGCATTCACTTCCCATGCAAACAAAACAATGTTCAAGGGGTTGCAACAAAGACTTTTAACATACTGTATAAGGAGTGAGAAATACCCAATGCCCAAGCTGGGTTCGAAAAAGGAAGAGGCACAAAAAACCAGATTGCCAACATATGATAGCCAGTGGAGCATACCAAATAATTTCAGGAGATCAGTCTATGCTGTATAGTCTTCAGCAAGGTTGTTGACTGCATGGATCATGCGAAGCTAAAGATTATTCTAAAATAAATGGGTTCAATGGGCAAAAAATTTTGGGTACAATATTGACTTAGAAAAATGGCAAGGGCTGTGGTCTAGAAACTATAAGATGACAATGGCAACATCTTATAAAGAGAATCTGTATAAAATGTTTTATAGATGGCATTTACCTTCTGATAGATTAGCTAAGATGTACTCTAACAGGTCAAGTAAATGTTGGAAATGTCATTAAAAAACTGGAACCTATTATCACCTCTGGTGGACTTGTGATAAAGCAAAAAAATTTTGGTACAAAATACATACATGGCTTGTTAAAATAATCAAAAAACATGTAGATTTTAGGCCAGAGCTCTTTCTGTTAGGTATAATACCAGAAAGTGTTGATAGACAAAATGTATATTTAATACTGCATATTCTAACAGCGGCGAGGATTATTTATGCACAGTACTGGAAAAATGAAGGAACACCTACGGATCAAGAAATAATTAAAAAGATATTGGACTGCGCCGAAATGGACAGAGTAACACTGAAAATCAAAGGAAAAGAAGATACAAAATATTACCAAACATGGGACTTATTCTATCAATGGTTAGAAGGATGTTGTATAGATTAGGAGTATAATGTGTGTAGTAGTTGTTTTACAAATGATTATAAACTGTACCCTGGTGACACGATGGTAAACCAATATGGATGGATTTATATAATAAAAAAAGTTAAAAAAATAAAATAAAATAAATGGGTGTGCCTCAACACTTGTTTGTCCTGATATGTGAGCTGTATTGTGGACAGCAAGCAACTGTTTGACAGAAGATGAAGAAATTGAATGGTTTCCCATAGGCAAGGGCTAGACAAATGTGTATTTTATCTTCTTAACTGTTCAGTCTATATACAGAATATATCATATGGAAAGCTGGACTAGATTCAGAAGAAGGAGGAGTAAACATTGGTGGAAGGAGCATAAACAATTTAAGATATGCAGATGACACCATATTACTGGCAAAAAGCAGCAATTACTTGAAATTATTATTTTATTTATTTATTCAATATGTATCCTGCTCCCATTAGTGTCACAGCACTACTCTGGGCAGGTTACAACTCATAAAATAGAAAACAAAAATAAAAATGTAAATATTGGAACCAATAGCAATAATCCTAAATTACTTCTGATAAAAGTGAACGAAGCACAAAAGCAGGATTGCAGCTGAACATTGAAAAGACAAAAATAATGACTACAGAATAACTCAACAACTTTGATGTTGACAATGAAAAAATTGTTAAAGATTTTGTATACCTTTGTCCAATCATCAGTCAAAATGCAGATTGCAGACAAGAAATCAGAAGTCTGAGATACAGAAGGGCAGTAATAAACGAACTAGAAAATATTATCAAGTTTACGGATGAGTCACTGGAGATCAAGGCCAAGATTATTTACCTATTGTGTTCTCAATTATTATGTACAATGTCAAAGCAGGATAGTGAAGAAAGCAGGAAAAATATATTAATGTGAAGTATAGTACTGGAAGAGACTTTTGCTTTTTACCAAGGACTGCCAGAAAGACAAACAAGTGAGTCCTAAATTAAATTTTGTTTCTCTAGAAACAAAAATTATGAAACTGAGACTGTTGTACTTTGGGCACACCATTAAAAGACAATATTAGCTGGAAAATACACTAATGCTAGGAAAAGGTTGTTGAAAGCAGCAGGAAAAGAGGATAACCAGACACAAGACTGATTGATTCCATACAGGAAGCCATGGCCTTGATTTTGCAAGAACTTAGGAAGTCTGTTAATGACAGGACATTTTGGAGGTCACATATTTATAGTTGCCATAAGTTGGAAGTGACCAGATGGCATATAACAGCAACAATTACCTGTACTCTTAACACAATGAGGTATGTGTATAACTGGTGAAACAGTCATTTTGTAATTGTTGTATGTTAAGTAGAGGTGCTGGACACTTTGTGTGCTTGATGCTGCTCTACTGGCAACCTGCTTGTTCTGTATAGTGTTTTCAAAATGAGATAGGAACATGAAGTGGTAAGAGCTATGGGATAGAGTAGCATGAAAGAGGAAGATCAAGGGAGAGTAGTAATGTGCATGAGCAGTTTAGTGATGAACACAAGAGGCAATGCCACTTCTTCCTTAGGTGGTAGGAGAGCTTGTGATACTATTATCTGGGCATCTAAGTGTCCTGGAACTGATGAAGCAAAAGTTATAGGCTTTGGAGATGTGGAAAAATTAATTAAGGCAAGACTATGGAGGGCTTTGAAAATGATGATGAGAGATCCGTTTAATTTAGAATAGAAGGGAAGCCAGTGTAGGAATTCTAAAGTGGGGTCTCATGTAGTAACAGCAGTTGATGACTTTAGTGGCAGAGTTCTGTATATAGGAGAAGAACTAAGATATGACATTGAAAGACTAGAAAGGAGAATGCTATTGTGATAGAATAAAATTATAGCCTAGGTATAAATCAGAAGAATGGTGATATTTTATGCCTTTCAGAAAGGAGAAATAACATGACTAGTTTGAATGTGGATATGAAACAGAGAGAAGAGTCAATTGTAAACTCAATCAGAAGTGGATAGATTTCAGATTTAATATTAGATATATTGAATCTGGAGTGCAGTTATGAGGCCTAGAATTGGATCAAAGGGAAAAAAATGCTTGGGTAGATTGGTGGAGCTGAACCATAAATTTTCAGGTGTCACTGAATCCCATGGGGTTTAATAAAGGAATAAAATCTATAGAAAAAAAAACAGAATGCCAAATCAACTTCCTAAGCTGCCCCAATAGAAAGAGGAAGAACCTCTTCAGGTAGAAAAATTGAAAAAATGCTTAGCAAAATAGGAAAAGAACAAACATCAAAGAGACCTACAGCATAAAAAGAGTAACCCAAGAGAATAAGTAACTGTATCAAAGGTTGTACAAAGCGAAGGAATGAATATAGAGAACTTTGGATTTGGCACTAAGAAGGTTGTTAATTATTTGGGGAGAGTCGTTTTGGTGGTGTACGACTATGTTTTGAAAGAGGAAGAAAAATTTGGGAAAAAAAAAGAAAGCAACACAGTCCAGAATTTGAAAGCTGAGGACTGAAGGAATAAAATATGAAGATAAATACAATTAAAACAAAAGGCTCTGATATGGCATTTCTGGATTCCACATCCTACAAGACTGTCACTGATTTCATTTGGTCTCTCTATGTACAGCTACATCTGGATGCAATAACAAATTCATACATTTTGAAGATCCTATTAATGTTCATAATAACAACCAATTACAAGCAACTATCTCATTGTCAAATGATGTCTATACATACAGGATAGTTCCCAGGCACATTTCCCAGAAAGGAAGTGTTTTATGTCTCAACATGAGTGATGACTGAAAAAATACTTTAACGATTGGACTGTATGTCTGTTTTGTATTAGAAGAAAATATGTGCATGTACCAACATGTAAGTAACCCTTTTATTGGTAGAGCGCCAGTCTGTAGTTGCTTTTAAACATTAAGCAGGTAGTTTGTAAACCCTGGCAAGGTCCTCAGTATACCCAGTTCTGCTTTCTTATGGTTTTTATTTTTTTTAATTTTTTTTAATGTGCTCTTTAGTAGTACATTTTGTGCCCTTGTAAATTATTTATCAGGGCTTAGAACGGCTCATTGCAAAATCCTTCACAACCTTTGGGTACTGTCTGCTGTACAATCAGCTGTAAACAGATAAAGCAGCACACTAGAACTGGTAAAATACTTTAAAATTATTTCTGTTCTGTGTGTAAAGTTTTTGGTATTCCTATTTGACTAAGCAGAAGAAACAGAATTAAGGGTTGTTTTTAAAGGTGCCAAGCTATAGTTTCTACCAAAGGGACTATAAAAGAGAATTCTACAGATCAGCTTCACTAATATTATCAAGGTTTTTCCTGTATAAACTAACAAAGGCACAAGAGCTTAATACAGTACAGTAGTTACATAGCAAACCCAGTTCTAGAAAAGCTGCGAATTATTCTTAAAAAAATTGGTGTGCCACAGTATTTTATTGTCTTGATGTGCAACTTTTACTCTGGACAAAAATGTACTGTTACAATAGAACATGGAGAATCGGAATGGCAAAGATGGTTTCCAGTTGGCAAAGATGTTGAACAAAAGTTTTATTTATCTATTGAATGTATATGCATAACATGGAAAGCAAGGTTAGAGACAAATAGAGAAATGAAGTCCGAATAGTCAAAGCTGTGTTTTTTCCTGTAGTGATGTATGGAAGTGAGAGCTGGACCATAAAGAAAGCAGACTCAAATAGAGAAATGAAAATTGAAGAATAAATATAATTTAAAATATGCATCATACTCCAGGCAGAAAATAAGAGGAACTTGAAATAACTTTCAATGAAGATTACAGAAGAAAGTAGAAAGGCAGATTACAGTTGAAATTTAGGACAAAAATAATGGCTATAGGAAAATCACGTAATTTTAATGTCATCAAAGAAACCAAAATCATTATAGCATGGTCCAATCATTTATCTAAATGAAGACTGCAACCAATAAATCAGAAGACGGAGACTGGAAATGACATGTACGGAGGAAGTAGAGAAGATCCTCAAAGGTAGGATTTGTTGCTGGAGACCAAAGCCCAAATACTATGGTGTTCCCTAAACAGTATGGATGTGAAAGCTGTATTGTGAAGTAAGGTGACAGGGGAAAAAACAGTCATGTGAAATGTGGTGATGGAGAACTTTACAGATGACATAGCTTTCCAGAAAAACCAATACATGGGTTTTACATAAAATCAAGGCTGAAGTCTCACAAGAAGCTAAAATAACTAAACTATGGTTAAAACAATAAGGACAAAGCATGCAAAAACTAGGAATGCTAGGAAAAGCTGAAGGCAGCAAGAGAAAGGCTAGAAATGAGATGGATTGAGTCAATAAAGACACAATTTGCAGTCTACAAGATGGGAGCAAACTATAATAGCTTATTATAAGGTATTTGGGATTTTTGATTCATAGAGTCACCATGAGCTGGAGGCAACTTGACAGCACATAGCAATAACACCTCATCAATCAATATTTACAGTATTTATTTATTATGTTTGTATACAGCCTGATTTAGTGCAAAGTACTACTTGGGGTGGTTAACAACTGATATAAACATAATCAATATACTGATCTCCCAAATTACCAACAGACAAAAATTAAATTATAAGATCTAAAGATAGCAGTAAAAGCAACCAGTGATGATGGTAGAACGAGGTACAGTAGAGCTGAATCCTATTGATACTTAAGTGCAGAATATAACAAAGTTTCCTTAAACAAATCAGTATTTTACAACATCTTAACAGTACACAAGGACAGGGCTTGATGCACCTCCAAGGGAAGCCTGTTCCATAAGGAAGAGGTCACAGCTGAGAAGGCTCAATTCCTGGTAGAAGTCTTTGAAGCCCCTTCTAGGATCAGCCACCTACAATAACAAAGCTTGGGAAGATTGGGTGGGACAAGGAAAAGTTCTTAAATGGAGGTGGTCCCAACATGTAACAAGGCCCCAAGGGCTTTACAGTATACATTAGAATCAATACCTTGAATCTGGCTTGGAGGCATTGGGAACCAGTGCAAATGGACTGGAACTGGCAAAATGTGATAAAAATTCTTAGTGCCAGTAATCAATCTAGCTGCCTCATTTTGCACCTACTGCAGTTTCCAAATCAGGCCCAATGGCAGCCCCACACAGAGAGTGTTGCATTAGTCAGTCCTCAAGATCACCAGCGCATGAACTAATGTCTGAAGAGGCCCCTTGTTCAAATAGGGATGTAGCTGGGCAATTAGTCTGAGCTGGCTGAAGACTAACCTGGTCATGGCAGAAATCTGCTGTTCCAAAGAAAGGGCCACGTCCAGGATCATTACCGAATCTTGAACTTAAGCCCAAATAGAGTAAATCCATCCACCTCAGGTAGCCAGCTCCCCTACCAGTCTGAGGCTCCTCCTAGAAACAGGATCTCCATCTAATCTGGGTTTAGTTTCAACCAGTTTGCTCTGGTCCAATCCAAAAACAAGACCAGACAGTGCTTAAGCTACTGGACAGTATCCACTGCAGATGACATAAAGGAGAGACAGAGTTGTGTGTCTTTTTAATGATTTTGCTTACAATAAATTTTTTGAAGGAAAATGTACTTGGTGTTGTTTCAACTTTGGTCCAGTGATATTAGAAATATGTCTCAAGTACTTTTTTTAGCTGAAAGGTTAGGTTAAAATATAATATTGTAAATGCTTAATAAATAATCATCCACGCTCAGTAACCATATTCAGTCCTCACTAGGCTGTTTTGGGCATCCTTCTCTTCTTCCCAAAACAATCTTCTGTGTATGTTCTTATGTCTACATGCAAGATATTATTTTCCACTGATTTATTTCTTACCTCCCTTTCAAAACTTTCCACAGCAGTTTACAAATCTGCTCTCCTGTGCCATTTTGGTTATATAAGAATCCACCACTTCATGATTGGTTGAAATACCTATATATAGGTATTTTAACTTGTTAGCATTTATTTCAGCAAATAATTAAATATTGAAAATCAAGGACCTTGTTATGTGCCATCGGGTCACCCTGGATTTATGGTAACCCCATGAATGAAGAGTGACCTTCAAAATGTCTTCAACAGTCCTGCTTGGCTCTTGCAAGCTGGAGCCTGTGGTTTCTTCAGGGAGCGAGTCCATGTTGCATTTGATTTTCCTCTATTCCTGGTGCCTTCAATTTTTCCGAGCATTATTGTCTTCAGTCAGGGACCTACCCTGCTAAATATCATTCACATGGAGACTGAGTTGTCATGAAAGATGATGGGTGCAGTTGTAGCATTCTGGCGCCCAGCACATATAAAAGAAAAATCAGCTACAGTAACACTATTTTCTTCAATTAAACTAGAATTTAAGTAAAACCAAGGATTTGTTGCATCAAGAGGGCGGCCAGCGAAGTATTAAGACAGAGACCAAGGAAGACTGAAACAGTAAAGAGAAACAAGTTGGTCATTCAAGGTAAAATAAATAGGGGGGAAAGTAGAAAGTCAAATAACTTAATTGGTTGAAAAACTAGACCGAAGGGATAATCATTAAAGTTATAACGAAACTAGGAATTTTGATCTAGCATTCTAATTTGATCTCAGACATCGACTTTCTTGTTGCGACCCTTGATAATCCCAAAGCTTTCCCCCGAACTTCCCAGACGTTCGGGAAACGCAGATCTTCTAGATGAGGCAAACACAAACAACGCGTTATTCTCGCGAGTTGCAGACGAGTTTCTCGCACGACGTCCTGCCTCGCGAGAGATGCGCGCTGCCTCCGGCTTTCCTACTACGGTACAGTACATTTGGAAGGCTTGTCCCGAAATCTCGCGAGAGCCCGTGCACAAAGCTGTGGGCATCCCCATATCGAGTGTCCAGACCCTCCTCCAAGCATCAGGACGCGGCGGGCGCCATTTCAGGGAGCAGTCGGTTTTGCTAGAGTCGAGTCGAAACCTCCTTGTTTTGGAACTTTCTCGGCTTTAGCCTTTACCGGGTCCTTTTCGTGAGGCTGAGACCTCTCGCGCCGCTTTTCCCCCGCTACTGTCGCTGACGGAACAATTTTGCCGTTTTAGGGGCCCAGCCGCCTCCACAAAACCTCCGAGCGAGCAAACAACAACAGCCCGCCTCAGAGACAGAAAGAGAGAGACACCTGAGCTCGAAGCGAGACCCCTGGCAGCGCAGGTAACGGTCTTCGTCTTTTTGGGGGGAGCCGGCTTGGCTTGGGGGCCTCAGGGGTCTTGCAAAGCTTGAAAGCGCCCCTCTTCTTGGGTCAGGCCTTCTCGCTGACGAGGCCCGTCTCTCCTATTTGACAGTCTCTTCATCTAGGTTGTTTCTCAATATGCGCAGGCCTAGTTTTGGGGGAGGTAACGTAGGCCTCTTCGTTGTACATGGCGGGGGCGGGAAGAAAATCAGGAAGTCATTGAGTATTGTCGGTTGTGAATTTGCTGCGTATACTTACACGTGAAGTTATACAGACCATCCTACTCTCTTAATGGCGAATGGGAGATCTCCCGCCACAAAATACCTAGCGTCATTACTGTCGCCCCGGGAAACCTTTTAAAATGTGGCAGTATATGTTACGTGGTAAGGAAAGGCTGCTGACCCAGGGGATCAGTCTCTTCATTAAATAACTCATGTTAAAACTAGTAGAAGAAGAGTAGGAAGTCTGTTCCAGTGTTCTTTCAAGCATATTTGGCTGAAGCAAGTGCGTATATGAACTTTGCCCTATAGCTTTAGAGGTGAAATCTGTACAAGTTGGCATTGTTTTGCAACAAAACAGCATCTGAGTTGGTGTGTTTAATATGTACAGTATTTTTGCTTCAAGTGCTGCATTAAGTATGTTTAATCACGAGAGATAGATTTTTTTTCATTGTTATTTGGCCGTAATAATTGTCATGTTAAATTTTTTAAATTAAAAAAAACTTATCATGTTGGAGTTACATAAAACTATTATTCTGTTTAAAGCAGTAATATGAAATCTTATCTTGAATCCCCCTGCTCCACTGCCTGGCAAACAGCCATTGAAGCGTTAACAGGAAGGCCTTGGTGATATGTGCCATAGTCACATCTCATTTGGACTACAATGCCCTTTACACGAGGGTACCTTTGTTTGGAAACTTTAGCTGGTTTAAAATGCTGCAGCCAGACTGCTGACTGGTGTTGGTTATAGGGAGCATGTAATTCCCTTACTACAACAACTACACTGACTGCCATTCTGTTTCCAGGCCCAATTCAGAGTATAGTACTGGTTATTACCTATGAAGTCCTATACAGCTTGGACTCAAGTGGGGCTATTTGAAGGATTGAATTGCTCTCTATGAATGTTCTCAGATTAAGATCTTCTGGAGAGGCCCTTCTCTGGGTTGCACCATCTTCTGAAGCTCAGTTGGTGAGGACACAAGAGGGCCTTCTCAGTGGCTGCTCTCAGTCTTTGGAATGCACTGCCCCAAGAAGCCATGTTGGCCTCCTCTCTCTTCTCCTTCCATTCTCAGGCAACAACTCTCTTCTTAAAAGCAGGCCTTTAAGCAGCAAGCTGTCTCAGAAATGCAGGTTTTAAATAATTTTGAATGTTTTTATACTTAATCTTTAAATCCTAATGTATGTTTCATTTTTTAAAATGTGATATTTATATAGTGTTTTTAAAGTTGTTTTATCAGTTGTGAGCTGATATTTAAATAAATAAAAAATGTATGGGTAAGAGACTGTTCAGTGAACATCATTGTATGGCCACAGTTGATGCAAACCATTTGTGCAAACCCTATATGTAGATTTCAAGGCCTGATTCTGAAACATACATACTGTACTTTGTCTGCCATCAGGTATCACTCTACTGAGAATAAATCCATTTAAATTGCATGGGATTTCTGAGTATACAGTACATGAGTACAATTGCATTGTAAGTAGTTCTTTATATGCTAAGGTCAATGTCCAGATCTTTTGCAAAATGGATTTGTAGTTAATGGCCAGAGCCATTTTTCTCCTTTCCATGGGAAATAAATATCCATGTTCTTTAGTTGATAGTCAGGCACACTCATTTTACAGAAGTGCAGTGCATGTTCTATTGTGGCATTTATAATGCTTGACATCACAAGTCATAGTTTAACTTGGGAAGTTTAGCTTTTGACTGAGTACTATTTGGGATTAATTTTAAAGGAGCTGAGACTAGATTTCAGTTTTAATTTGACATCAGGTATTTTTCAGAATATATAACAAAAATTTAAAGGTTTTTAAATTGTATCCTTTTTATCTCAATATCTTAAATTACTTTAATTAGGTTCTTAACAATTAACAGTTCTATAGCTTTATATTTACATTTTGACATATGACTTTAAACAATATTGGTGTTTCATATACATAATTTTCCTTTTTTGTAAGGTTGTTTCTGACTTAGGGAGACCACAGTGGGGATTTTTTTAGGCATATGGCATGTTCAAGGAGTGTTTCACCATTTCTACCTCCACCACAAGTTTCTATGGTCAAATGGAAATTTTGAACCCTTTTCTGAGTCCTAATCTAACACTGTTCACTGCACTACTTCTTGCCCAACTTTTTGGTTATAATGGAAATATTTCACATGCTATATTAATGCATGCTTTTAAACATTTTCTTGTAGAAGTTTTTTTACTGTGTCAGAAAGGCAATAGTTTATGTAAAATGTTTGTATGGGCATGTTAATGAATGCAGTGTTTCCTGCTAGACTTTCAAGTATTAAGCAGGTTTATGTTTTTCCAACTAATACATTTCCCAAACTCCCACAAATGGCAATACCTCATTTTTAGATACTGAAAGTATTTAACTGTTGAAGTAATTGTAGCAGTCACCACATATGTATGCCATTATTCCACCTTCATGGAATAATGTAATGGTGGTTGAAGAGGGTGTGTTTGTCAAAACTACCAGTTCATTCTTGGCTCAATAAAGGTCAGTTATACACCTCCACTTCAGATTTTTAACAATTTGGCTTTGCTATTCCAACTGAGAATTTAATTCATTATGTGTGTTTATCAAATTGAAGTGAGCTACTCCATTAGTTCCTTGTTAACTCCTAATTTCTCTTCATATTTCAGATAAATTGGAATAAAACAAAAGTCTTTGGCACAGGGTTTGGAATGGAGTATGTGTGTGGGTCTCTATAACTTGATTACGTAGAAGTGCTGCAATGTGGGTGATACACCTGGAGATTTTCCCTTTAATGTGTATTTTCTCACCACAGAAGAACCCTTGCTTGTCTTATAAAATACTCTTTTAATTTGTTCAACATAAGTGCCTTTTTTCTTTGTGTGAAACTGCTGTTTCATTTACTGATACTTTGATAGTGATATTATTCAGCCAAACTTTAAAAATATTTTTTTAAACATACTTGTTTTTGAGCATGATCAATTGGCTAGCACTTAAAATCACAATTCGCTGTTTAATGGTTGCAATCCAGATTGAAATCAATGGCAGTTAAATTAGTTGAAGCTAATTTAAATGCACTTGTTTTGGAAATGGCTTAAGCTTTTATCCAGACCATCTTTAAAAAAGAAAGCTAAATTGGAGCTATGTTTTTCTGTTTGCCTTTCAGATTTGTTTGTTTGTTTGTTTTTGGCATGCAAATGCCAAATGAGGCCAGTTTACAAAGATACTGTTTTTTATCCTTTTATTTGTTTTTTCTGTTGCTACTTTCCCCATAGATTTGTGGCCTATATCTGTATATTTAATAAGCTGACTGTTAATTTTCACTTGCATCATATGTATTCTGCCAGTTATTTATGCAGTGGCAGAAATGTGCATAATGACCTCAACATGTTTTTCTATATCATGATTTCATATGTTATTTAATAGAATCATGTCCACTTCTTCCTCCCATAGAATTGTCTTCATTTAATGGGTCAATTTAAATTTTAATCAGAATTAGAGATGGGGCTAATTATAGCCACTGCACAGGTGGCTATAATGAGGGTCCAGCCCGATGGGGCTGAATGGTCCACTCACAATTCTGCCACTGCCACAACCTCTGTGGAGTCTTCCAGTGACTCCAGAGATTGTGATTAGCTCACCACTCCTGAGAGGAGGCGGGATGACAAGCCTCTGCCAGGTAGAACAGTGGCTCACAGATAGCGATTTCTGGAGCCATTGGGAGGCTCCACAGAGGTTGCAGCAGCAAAGGAATTGTGAGTGGACCGTCCGGCCCCATGGGGCTGGACCCTCGTTATCGCCACTTGTGTGGAGGTATTCAATATGAATACCCCCATCTGAAATCAGAATGTTTAGGGCAACAATGAATCACTAGAAAGTTTTTAAAATTATTTAAAATACAGGCTTTGGACTCCTGAATGTTTCCATGCAACAGTTTTATAGGTGTTTGTTTCTTGGAGAGATAATATACATTGTTAATTTCTGTACAAATGGAATAATATGCAAGTCTTCAGGTAATTGTTCTCTGCTGCCATATTCTCTGGCTGCTTCATCGGTCTTTCATGTTTTGTAACCCTTCAGAGTACAGTAGCGCTCACTCCAGTTTGGTTTGCTGCATATTTTTATCAGACATTAAACACATGTATCCATTGTATGTAACACTAGTAGAGTAGAGAAGTTGGGCACCTTTTAAAACTCTGTTTTAATCTGATATCAGAAGGCAGCTGTGCCTGCTGAATTAGGAACTGTGTTTTACCTGACAGATATAAAAAAATTATGCTGTGAATTAAGGAGGGTCTACTGTTTATATTCTCAGATCCATTAGTGGACCTCTTGTAAGTTAATGGCCATGTATTTCATCATGTGGCATTTTACCCGGGTGGATTTGATTTAAATCAAGTGGATTTAAGGTAGCCGGCTCAAGGTTGACTCAGCCTTCCATCCTTCCGAGGTCGGTAAAATGAGTACCCAGCTTGCTGGGGGGGGGGGCAATGTGTAGCCTGTATAATTAAATTGTAAACCGCCCGGAGAGTGCTTGTAGCACTATGGGGCGGTATATAAGTCCAAAAAAAAAAAAAATTTAAATCATGATTTAAATCACTAGTCAGTAAGACTCTTTAAATAATGATTTTAAGTGTAAAAACCATTCTTGCTGGTAGCTATAATCTTTAATATTTGCAACCTGATAGAGATTTCATATTTAGAATAATAAACTCAGATTAGTAAAACAGCTATATTGGAACTAATTCTAGTTTAATAGGTTAATCACTCATATTTGGATAACTACTTAAATTGTTTTATTTAACTAAAACAATAACATTATATAACATACATATTCTTGTATTTGCTTAAATATCAATGTTTATTAACTGAAGTGGTTAAGCAAAGTATCTTTAAAAAGCAAATTATCTTCAAAACAATGTTCAGACCTATGTAGCATTTATGATACAGTAGGAACCCCCCTATTGGTGGGATCAGAATCTGCAGATCCACTTATTGCTGCCTGAAAATACTAAGCCCCCAAGTACATATTTATATGTATTTCCAGGATGTATTTACCAGAACTATTCACTAAAGGAATCAAGAGACAATGCAATGTCTAGAGTTCTGCTACATCTGCGTTTTTCAGCATCTGTGGGGGAGGCTTGGAACTGATCCCCCACAGGTACCACAGTTCTACTGTAATGTGTTCATTGTTTGTACATAGATTTATAGAACAACAATGGGATTAAGGTCTACCTGAACTTTGTTTATTTTATACAATTTTTACTGTGAAAAATACATGTTATCACAGCTTGGATAACTTGGATTTATTGAATTAGTTTACAGAAATTGTAAATATTGCATGAACATACAGCCTCATACTACATAAATAAACTCTATTTCGTGATGAATAACCTTTTAACTATAATGTACCTTAAATAGAAAACTATTTTTAGATAAGTTTTTCCCCTCAAAAACATTTCATTAAAATAAATTTAAATTTTAAAAATCCATTTTTATTTTAAAATAATTGATTTTTATCCACCCTGGTTTTACCTATGTGAGATAGCCCTGGTCAACTCAAGGATTACTGTTTAGTCTGAAAATAAATGTTGCTACATGTTCCATTGCTTAATTTTGCCAAAGCAGGACATCCTGTACATAAGGCTATGTTTTTGTTCTCGTGCTGAATATCAAACAATATATTATAACCCACTTCCCACTTTATTTATGTACTTAATTATAATCACAATTATGACAAACTCAATGGTTTATTAGTAACCTGAAGGTGAGAATATGTGCCAGCTGATTCCATAGAAGAAGTGGACTGAAATAGTGTGACTAATCTGTTTCGAATTTTTGACCCAAGGAGTCAATGATTCATGGCAGATTTCGGGGGATGGGAAATCATCAGATTCATGAGGAACTTCTAATCTGAAGCTCTAATGAGCTTTTTCATCGTAGGGACTTTTTCTCACACCTTGGAGGTAAGGCAAAAAATGCAAAATGGATTAGTTTTGTAGTTCTGAAGAACTTTCAGGAAAATGCTTGCAACACACACTGAACTTGACAAGAGAAGCAGTTACAGTGAGAATTGACTTGATCAGATGTGCTAAATGAATAATCAGGTTTAGTTTTGTTCACATGTATGTACACACACCTGCAAAACCTCAGTCTTGTTCAATAAAGTGGCTTGATGGCAACATCAACTTTTGAGTAGCATCTAGATTCAAAAGACTTGGTAGTAGATTAAATAACTTTTAATCTGGGTAGTCTAAAGTGTTCTTGTTTTGCTTTTAGGGGTTGCTTGAGACCTGCAGTCTGTGTGTTGCTTGCCCCTTGACAAAGCTTTGGCTCATCATGGTACACAGAAGTTGAGAAACCCTGCTGCAGAACAACTGCAGCCTGAGACTAAAATTATTTTGCAAAATCTTTTTTTGTATTTGTCAACAAAGGATTAGTATATTATGGCCTTTTGAAAGTCAGAACTCACTATTGCTGGTGGGAAGTCAGAAACTGATTGTTTTAATGTAGTATTTCTGGATTTATTCTAGGTATGATAGTTATTTCTTCTTGAAGGAAAGAATAATCTTAGACTTTGGTTTTTGCTTTTAACCCATGTATCTATATATAGGGTGCATGCATAGTAAATACTTGGTGTGGTTTTATTCACTTCATCAAAATGATAAGACAGTGTCACTGTGGCTGAAGTTCTTTGTCATTGTTTTTGACTGAACATATTCATACTGGTAGAGTTAGTGTTTTAAGATTGTAAGGAATGAAAAACTACAAGGTCATTGGGAAATATGATGTGTTGTACCACCATATTTATTTATTCATTCATTTATTTATTTATATGCCACCCGCACTACCCAAAGGTCTCATATTAGCTTTATCACCTTTAGAAGAATTGGCTAGGATGCTGTTGAGGATTTGCATCTTAGGAAATGCAAGTTGCAGTAGCAAATTGCAGTGAATTGCCACTAATTTTTGAGTGGATGCTTTATGTTCCTGCTTCTGCACCACGTTCTAAAGTACAACCAGAAATGCATGCAGCAATTCAAAATTTGTTTGCAGTTTTTACACTTATGTCAGCATAAATCTTGAATAGGATCCTGGCCATTAATTAATCTGATGCTTTTCAAAATAACAGGAAAATGTACTTTATTTACTAAGAGCCTTACTGTTTTTCTTAGGTGTTGTGAAAAATGGCTGATGATATTGATATTGAAGCAATGCTGGAAGCTCCTTATAAGAAGGTGAGAAAATATGCTAATAAGGTCTTTAGCAATATTCATTTAGCATTATTCATGAAACTACTGCTGAACTGTAAACTAACATCCCTGGAGCCCTCATGATTTGTCTTATGGACATGCGTTACATGTATCTTACAAGTAACTATATGCTGTTGATGTAATTATATTGTGCAGTAGTTTCACTTCAGCGTGATGAATAAATGCCCATCTATCTCTCTTTGTAGACTTGCCTAACGATATCTCACCTCTACTCCCATGAATTCACCTTTGATTCCAGTGTGAACTGTCAATCATAAGGTAGTAATTGAGTGACGTATCGCTGTACCGTGGTCCCCCTAGGTAAAAACAAACAAACAGACAAACAAGAAACACTCCTAAAGACTACCAGCTCAATTTTGGTATAGCAACAAGGTGAATGCAGTGGTTTGGGCAAATAGCAGGGTTCCAAGAATAACCTCTTCCACAAGTTCATGGCGAGTAAATCCTTAGTCTACTTAATGCAAGAAGGTGACAGCTTTGGAAAAAAAGATAGATGAGTGATTAATCTTTAATAGAACAGGTGGCAATCAGTTGTTGTGTGAAAGACTTTTCCAAAATTCTTGGATCCCTGACCAGTTAACTTTTTAGTAAAAGTATATTGCTGTCTACGATTCATTGTCAAAGAGTATTCTTCTATTTAGTTATATAGTTATAGGAAAAATGATATGTCAACATTACTGAATATTTAATACTTAGCTTCAGAGTTAAAACGGACAGAATATATTTAGTTTTTTCACCAAATCTTGGTGGAACTGTTAAATTATGCATGCAATAGCACTGGCTTCACAAACCTGCATATGTAAAATTTAGTAATAAGTAGCAGTTGAACTCATGGTGTAACTGGTGTGATAACTACAATAAACATAACAGCAACTGTTAGTTCACTTTGGAGTATGTTTAGTTCAGCTATGCGGTATAAACCTTGAACAAGTGTTTGTAACCTTTTAAATTTTTATGTTGTAGTTTTATGTAATATTTAGTAATATGTAATATTTTGAAGTGAATCTTAATGTGTAATTTTAAGAACCTTGTGTACTAGTTTAACATGGATATTTTCCATGTAAACAGGTATGGAAATAGGGAATATTTAGGCTGGACTGGTTGGATTATTGATGACTGACTTGGGAGTCGACGTTACTAAAGCAGTGTGAATCCCTGTTTGCTTCAGGGCGAGATGTGTGACAGAGGTGGCATCAAGCTCTTACAGTCCCAACCCTCCAACGAAAATGGTCGAAGATCTCAGGAATGGCATCGGTCACAGGAAATCGATAGTGGCTGGCTACTAGCATGGCCACTTGGGGCTTAGGCAGAAATATAGCCTTGGTACTGGTCAAAAGGGATTATAGTACTGTATATGAAAGTGCTTTTAAACATGAAACTCCTTTTTACATTTTATTTATTTAACCACTTGAATGCTGAAAAATGCAGGATAACTTTCATCTGTGTAAGGAAGTATGTATAATTTAAATATATTTTAAAACAATAATTATTGCACTTGTAATTATATGACTTAAATGTAAGCAACAAAGTGGTTACACAAGTCTACGTTAACTAGTAGCACCCCATATTAAATGTAAATTTTAGCATTAAAATTTTCGTTTTGTATTTTCTTATCCCTGTTCCCATTACCCCTTTGACCACTTGAAATGTTTCCACTTCGTCCTCATGATGTTCTTCTATCAACCCTGCTTAGGATGAGAACAAATTGAGCAGTGCCAATGGCCATGAAGAGCGCAGCAAGAAGTAAGTATATGCCATTTTCTCAATTGCATAGCTTTAAAACGGTAGACTTTTTCTCGATCTGCTAGATAGTCTCCATTCTGTTGTTATGAAATATGTTATTCTATACAAATCACTCTGAGGAAACTGGAAGGAACATAGCTTACAAAGGCTAAGTGAATCTAAGTTATTGTCCTGTCAGTTTTCATAGGTGAGTGTTCCTTAAATAAAGTAAATTACTGACTGCAAAAGTTAAAATCATAAATGATCTTAATAGTTTTCTTTTCATGCATATATTTCAGGATGTTCCCCCCTCCCCAGTCTCTTAAAAATGGGTAAGGGTTAATTTAAAATAGATATGAATCAGTCATAAATAAATGAAGGAATACACTGTCCTGGATGTTACCTTTCAGTCATAGAATTATTGAGTAGTGTTTTAGCATCTCATAAGAAAAGCTGTTAGGGAAAGAGTGCTAGATATCGCTGCATCCTTATTGATTTTTCCTATGAAATGAAAACAGTGAATGTGTTATATGAGTGACAAACAATGAAACAGAACCAGACATAGACTGTCTTGTAGAAAACTGACAGTACATGAGCATCCCTTTGAAATGGGTGTGTGCTCACTTGTGTGTAAATACGTGCTCATGGTATCTCTGGTTGTAAAAACATAGGCACAGTACAGAAATTACATATTTCTTGAGGGATTACCAGATGTCACATTGTTCATATGAAAGCAGGCAAAATCAGGTATTAGATGTACTTTCCACTTTGCATTGTTTAATAGTAGGAGAAAAGGAAGAGCCTTCTGCTTCCATGCTTCCTTTTAGAAAGTAAAGCAAAATGCATAAAAGAAATAATCTCTTTTCTGGAAGTGAAAAGGGTAAGGATGTATTTTTGTTTCTAATTATTTTGGGTGGTGTCTCTTTTTCTTTTCTTTTTTCCCTTTAGTTTTATATGAATGAGAAAACCTCTTTCATATTTCCAAATTTGTGTTTTCGGGTGCTCCAAAATCCCTGAAGAGCTATCACGAAAGGCAAGACAATAGAGGATCAGTCTACACCAAAAGCAGGCAATCTTACATGAGATACATAAGGAAAAAAATGATCAAATCTATGCAGGCACCCATCACCATCAGGTCTGTTCAGAGCAAAAAATTCACTCATCCATCAACCAATTAAAAAATCAGCAAAGCACCCAAAAGTTAGAAAAAGAGCAGTATTAGTTTACTCACCACACACTCAACACAATAAATCCTCTAGGTCTGGGCAGCACAGTACAGTGGTGCCTCGCTTAATGGGCGCCCCGTTTAACGACAAAATTGCATACCGACGAACTTTTTGCGATTGCATTGTGATGTTTTAAATGGGGAAAAATTGCTTTGCGATGATCGGTACCCTATTTCACTTACCGATTATCGCAAAGCGATGATTTCCCCCCAGCTGATCGGCAGTTCCAAAATGGCCGCCGGGGAAAAAATGGCCGCCTGCTGTGTAAAAAAAATGGCAGATTCCTCGCTTACTGGGCAGCGAAAATGGCCGCTGTATGGAAGATCTTCGCTTAAAGGTCAGTTTTAAGCCCATAGGAACGCATTGAAGGGGTTTCAATGCATTCCTATGGGCTTTTTAAAATCGCATAGCGACGAAATCACTTTGCAGCGATTTTTGCTGCACCGACATGGCTATGCGAGGCACCACTGTAGATTTAAAAAAAGGCAAGGAAGCAGCCAGGTGCTGGCTGTCTGGCACACACCTGTCTACCAAAGCAACAATAGCAGCACAACACCCAAGTACAAAAATAGAGAAATGCCCCAAGCTGTGTGCAGCCAGAAACACCCCTTGCTCCCTGGAAACAAACGAAACAGCCTCAAAGTCTCTCACCAAAATATATACTTTCAATAGAATAAATTGCAGTAAATTAATCAAATAACTATTTTTTAAAAAATAAACACGGAAAGTACTTGTCTGCACACACACAAAGTGAAAGAAGAGAAAAAAGCAAAGTACAGTGGTGCCTCCCTTGACGATGTTAATTTGTTCCAGTGACATTGCTGTAGAGTGAAAATGTCAACCGAAATTAAAAAGCCCATTCAAATGCATTGAAAACCGTTCAGTGCGTTCCTATGGGCTGAATATCTGCTTGTCCAGTGAAGATCCTCCATATGGTGGCCATTTTCGGGTGCCTGTTAAGCAAAAAATGCCTCCTAAAAACAGCAGGGAGCCATTTTGCGCAGCCGGTGGCCATTTTGAAAACCCGATGATCAGCTGTTTTGATCGTTGTAATGTGAAGAATCGGTTCCCGAAGCAGGGAACCGATCATTGCAAAGCCAAAAAAAAACAAACAAAAAAAAAACATTAAAATATCTTTCTGCGATCGCAAAAACATCATGAAGCGGATTCATCGTTATACGGGGTAATCATTAAACGGGGCACGACTGTAAAGCATACAAACTGCCCCTACTCAAGCCAAAGCTGCTAGAAAATGTGGAGAGTTCTCCCCACCACCATTTGCTGCCTTATCTTCCAACAGGAAGCAGTATGTGGTACAATAATCTTAAAAAGGAAGGGCCCCCTCCCCTCCCAAAAGTGAAAGAAACAAATCCCCAAAGGAATCAAGGAAAATGCAAGAAATAATCCCAAGGGGGCACACTGGAATAGGCAAACTCCCCAGCAGCAGCAAAAATAATCCAAGGAAATGGGGGAGGAATCCTCTCAAAAGAAAGGGTTAAAAGAGAGAGAGAGAGAGAGAGAGAGAACGGAGTCTTGGATAAATAGTAGGCCTGCAGAAATCCAGGATGGAGAGTGCCAGGAACTTGGCATACAGTAATCCCACAAGCAGCAACTGAAGCAAAGAGCATTCTTCAGAGTTGCAGGATTCAGATTCCCATCACCTTGGTGTTCTGATTGTCTTCTGACACCTCTCGTGATGCCAGTGGATGAAAATTTTCTTAGAGAATTTGACAAAATATGAAAGAAAGAAATATCACATACCCCCTTCTGTCAACCCTCTTCGAATCCTTTATGTTTAGAGGCTTCTCTCTTGCTTGTTGCTGCAATAAGATGAATTGCATGAAAGATTTATCTTTTGTGTTTTGTGTTGCTTGTTTAAACACAAAAGACCCACCCTTATGAAGAGAACCTTTCCCCCGTTTTTCACCTGTCAGAATTTTAATTGTGTGAGGAGTGAGGGAAGTTTATTGACCAGCCTTTGTAATGTCTGTTGCAGTTTTTCACTGTATTGAATGTCCTGAATAATGATCCTTCTCTTACTGCATAGCCATTTTTCAGTGCTGTTTTGTATAGTGTTAACAGAGTATTCATATCTTACAACTTCAAGGCACTGAAATAGACTTGTACAGTGTTACATATAAGTTTAATGAGCTCTACAAGAATGAAAAGACACCCTCTTAAAATATGAGATTATTCCTGTAATGATGTTTGTGTGTTTTATCATCATTAACTGCCAGAAAATTCCATACCTATGAATATGTTAATAAATGTTTATATAAGAACCTTTTTGCATGATGTTGTTAGTTTGCAATACCTGATTTCTGAAAACATGGATTTCCTGCTTCTAGATATTTCACTGTGGTGTGTTCTTATTCAAAGGCTGTCTGCAAAATAGAACACTATTCTATAATCAGGAGAGAAAACCTTTAAGGAACTACCCAAGCAGTTTCCTCCTTATTAATTGTTATCCTGTTAGAAGTCTGTTAATTTGGCTTTTTGCTCTTTATCCTAGATATTGTAGGAAAGTTCTGCCTTTTCTCACAAGCAATAGTTGGCAAGAGGCACTGTTGTATAAGTGAAAGGAATTTTGAAACTATAAAGGAACTTTATGTATGTTCCTAATAGGCTCACTGGGATTGGAATGAATATTCTCTGTGAAAATCATTCTGGTGTTTTTTTTTTATGTCAGGATGCACTTAAAAGACACAGATCTTGTACCTTGATGGTTGCTTAATTGCTTTGCTTCCCAACTTTTTGTGAAATTTGATTTAAAACACAAGATTTGCCATGATATAATAAAAAAGTTAATGAAAGCATAATGCAGAAATTCAGAGCAGATGACTCAAAGCATGTTTAAGATGTAAGAAAAAAACATTTTCAGATTTTGTGCATATATAAATCTGTGGAGTCCAGAATTTTGGCCTGTCATACTATACATGAAAACATAAACCATTTAGTTTGCTGTTTGATGCTGGGAAAAGTTAATTTCATATACATATTAAGGTAGTTTCCCTTTGAAATAAAAATATGAAGAGGTCAGTGAATTCTGACCCACCAAACATATGAAATAATTTCAGTTAGCTTCAGCCATGCTGCAGTGTCACATTTTCCCAGCATAAGCAGTAGGTTCAGAAAAACATTCTCTTTCTTTCCCTGCTTCACACTCACACTATACAGCAGTTGTATCGGATACCTCTCATTCTAAATTATTGGATGAACTGTTTTTACTACCAGATGAATAAATATTTCAAATTATAAATGTATTTTCTTTTATTCAATCACACTGCTCACATTAGGCTTAAGAAAAGAATTCTATGGACAAAAATGTAATACGGACCTTTTCTGGTAGTGTGCTTGTAGTGTAGAAGCTTGCGCATTTTGTACTGCTAACCAAAAATAAGAACCTTGACTTGTGCCTTCATTTGCCTGAAAGATTATAGGTACTGTTCCTTTCTATTGCAGAAGGCAATGGTGGTGACATTAACTCTACAAAGGATGATGCAAAGGTTAACTGGATTACTTTTCTGGGCATATCAGGGCATAGGGGAACAGATGACGCAAAGAGTTCCCAAACATTTTGGATTCAGTGCTCCCTTGATTTACTGACCACTGACATTGGCTCACCTTGCTTGGAGGGGCCCTCAGGGATCTTGACACTGCTCCCCAACAATCTCATATCCTCCATCCCCTGAATATCCCTGAGGGACTACCTCCTTCCAGGTCCTGATGCAGAAAACTCGCAAGGCTGCCTGGCATGTACCTCTACCGGGGACCATAAAGATGGGGCAAGGAGAA